GGGTGTTTATAGATGAGAAGCTCAACATGAGCCGGCAGTGCGTTCATGCGGCCCAGAAGGCCAACCGCATCCTGGGATGTATTAAGAGAAGCGTGGTCAGCAGGTCAAGAGAGGTGATTCTCCCCCTTTATTCTGCTCTTGTGAGATCCCACCTCGAATACTGCGTCCAGTTCTGGTGTCCCCACCATAAGAGAGACATAGATCTGTTGGAGCATGTTCAGAGGAGGGCCACAAAGATGGTCCAGGGGCTGGAGCACCTCTGCTATGAGGACAGGTTGCTGGAGCTGGGACTGTTCAGCCTTGAAAAGAGAAGACTTTGGGGGGACCTAATAGCTGCCTTCCAATACCTGAAGGGAGCTTACAGGAAGGCTGGGGAGGGACTTTTTACAAGAGTGTCCATTGATAGGACAAGGGGAAATGGGTTTAAGTTGAAGGAGAACAGATTTAGATTAGATTTTAGGAATAAATTCTTCAGTGCGAGGGTTGTAAGACTTTGGAATAAATTGCCCAGAGAAGTTGTGGATGCCCCCTCCCTGGAGGTGTTCAAGGCCAGGTTGGACAGAGCCTTGAGTAGCCTGATGTAGTTGAGAGGCGTCCCTGCCCATGACAGGGAGGTTGGATTAGATGATCTCTAAGGTCCCTTCCAGCCTATGCCATTCTATGATTCTATGTATTGACAGATAAAATCTAAGGCAGATAAAATCTTGTTAAGCAGCATTTCAACTTTCTTGCAGCAATAATCAGCTGCTTAAGAAACTGCAAGCACAGATGAAAACTCTGAATCTTCTGGTGAAGCGAGATTAAAAATAAATGACAACAGATAGGTTACAGTTTAGATTATTAGAAGTGTTATCTTTTAAAGTGATTTTATTTTAGCATTAGAGGAAAAAAAATCATTGAAAGCTTGCAGTTGTTTCTGGCTTCATTGCCCTCCCCCATTCTTATTTTTGCTGCAGGAAAAATCCAGGATTTTTTTAAGTAGAAGCAAAATATGTGATCAGTGACTCAAATCAGATCATTACTCAGATATCTCAGTATCCGTTTCTCTTAAAAAGCTTGGCTCTTGCAACCACATCATTAGCATAGTCGTTGTGTGTTGTGCCAATATCCATTCTGTCATAGCTCCGGACATTGTTAGGTCCCGCATTATAGGCTGAAATCCCACCTGAAATGAGAATGAAAGAAACACATAAACAGAGGTGACACTTCATCAATAAATAAGCAAGCAAATAAAAATCACAACTTCAATGTGTTCTTTAGTTTGTAGCTCTCTTTTCACCGGTATCGTTGGCCAGTGTATTACCATTTCCAGCTATTTTTGCTGCTATGGTGTTCCTTTTGTGTTGTGGCTTTGTGAAGAAATAATAATTTCATCCTCTACATCCAGACTTGGTGATCATAGTCTCCTCACTGTATTTGGCTAATGTAACATCTTCAGTTGTATGACTGCTTCCTTTTGTGCATATTCCTTCATGCCTACCTGCATTAATAACCTCAGACATATTTGTATTGTAGTTGGAATAAAGGGACCCAGCCATAACAATGGCTTCAGCTGTAATCAGTGCTCAAGAATATAACCATGTTTCCTTCATCAAGGACCATACATTTTCAAAATTAATATGTTCTTTCTTTGAAGTTGCGTGGATAGTAGCTTTTTGTAGGTGGGTGTAGAAACACAAAAGAAATGAGGGAAGTGGGGAGGGAAACTCACCCTTACTCTTTGCAACTGAAAAATGTTGTGATATTTGCCAAGTTTTCCAAAAGCCTGCTAGAAAGCTAGCTACATCTCTTATTCCTCTATTCCTTCTAGTGAGTGTCAAGGAGCATTGTTCCACACCTCAACGAAATGAACAGAGGAACTGAGATGTGTTTAGTTTTCTAAAGTGCTCAGTTTTACAGCATTATCATGCTTGACTTTTACGTGTGAAGCATTTTAAAGCTGACAAAATTCTACCTTTGAGCTGCTGTTCCTTTGTCCATGTTGGGAATTTCTTCTGGATTTCCTTTATCATGTCACATAAAATCTGTGTGCCTTGCGCTAAGTGTTCTTCACTGTCCCATGACCCGACAATCTTATGGTAACGTTTGTCAACCTGAAAGTGAAACAGCAATATCAGCATGCCAGAAACCTCATTCTTTATCTTTATTGCTTACAGGCTGCTTGTATTCATTTTGATCTTTAATCTCATGGTTTACCTCTTTCATAATTACATAGAGAGGAAGCACACTTAGCTCAAAGCTTAGGCGAAGCCAGCAGATGAGTGAATAGTAGACTATCAGGGCACTGAAGAGGAATGCCTGCCTCACCTCCTTGTCTGCCAGAGCCTTAAAAAAACAACACAGCTGCTGCTGTGAGGATGACAGGGTGCAGAAAGTGGGCTTACTGCTGCTTGAGCCTTTCCAGCTGCAAGGTGACTGCTCCTCTCTTCCCCAGCTGCATCAAGCATGGGAAACACCCTGTTTCCTCCAGGGATCTCCCCTCAATCTCAGTCCCAGTTCTGCTTTTCTTCTTCTCCTCTTCCTCCTCCTGAGGAGGCTGGAGCTGTTACAAAAGCGCATCTCCATGCACGCAGCAAATGTTTAGAGGTTGTACAGATAAGCGGACAACTTGGCAAACAAGTGAGGCGTGAATGTAGGCATGAATAATGGAGCAGGGTCCCCTGCTAGCTGGGCCCCTGTGGTGCATAAAGGGTAATTAACCTGACTATATGAAGCTGCAGCCTACAGGCTTCCATGCTTAGCTGAAAAAAAAACCAAACGCTTTCTGAAACAAGATTTCTTATCTAAAGTATGAAATAGGAACAATTAATCTCTTCGTTCCCAAGAGAGCACTGGGAAGCAAGCAGCGGTTTCACAGTGCAAAAGCAGTCCGCTCATGCCCCGACACTCACCGGGGTCCTTCGTAGTGCTAGGAGCTGACAGCAGATCGATGTCAGCTTTATTCTGGCCAGAGAGTTGGCTGAGAAGGTTTAGGGGGTTGCCTTTCAACAAGGCCCCTGCTGCTCTTCTGACTTTTCTGCTTCAAAAGAAAGATGAGGTTTGTGTTTTTAAGAAGGTTGATCATACCTGCATTAAACCGAATGCATTTCCGTAGTCACCCCAGCCATCCTCTAGCACTGTCCCAGCGTGTGACTCTCGAGAGATAATACCAGCAATCACAGCTGGATCAACACACTTGCTGTTGCCAACTCTTCTAATCTTGGCTTGGTATTTCTCCATATTCTTCAAATCCTTTTCTGCAATCTTCTCTGAGGCAGCAACTCCTACAACACAACATGCACTACTTCTTCTTTTGTTTTTAGAATCAGAAACAAGTTGTTCTAACAGTCAGTATGACTGAGCTGAGATTTTGAATCCTTCTGAATCTATTTAGAGAGCAGCAATGATAGAATTGACCAATTTTGCTGAAGGGTAAGTGCCCTAGAAATCAATACATAAATGATATAAAAGATGTTTTTTCAAATACAGGGGGGAGTTCTCTAGCATGCAGACTATAAGGCGGGTCTTCTTTTAAATCTAAGCCTTTGGGTGGATTAGTCCCAGATTTAGTTCCTTTTTCATTTAGGACAATAATGGGGAAATGTTTAGAAACTTAGATCATGAGGGAAACCCTCTTAAGAGAGAGAGAAAAGCAGGCTCAATGGGATTGGATGCACCCAGCAGACCTTGCATTTTGTCTATGGTGGTCTTGAATATAATCTCAAAGGCAACTCTATTCCCAACATAAATTTATGTGCCCAAGTAGGATCTTTGTTGGTTGTGGAAACATCTGCTTGCATGGCAATGACTGGCAGCCAGAGACTGGGATCTGTAATAGGCATGAGTTTGGGTGCCTTCGGATGTAAGGGGAGATGAACAATTGAATTAGTGCCTACCTGCATAGCTCAGGCCTTCCGGTCTCGCAGTTGCCTCTGAAGCTCCAGTTGTGTCAACGTTCAGTATATTCCCGTAACGATCTGAACAGCCTAAAAGCAGTATTTACAACCAAACATCAGGCCAGTGCAGTGTGTATACTTTCACATACACTCTGAAAAGGTTCATCTCTCAGCTGTGCTAGCGTAAAGCCACAGTGTAGGCTGCCAGGTGAACTAGTTTGACTTGCCTAAAACTTAACTGTCTAGTCTAAGCTTGTGACTTGAGCTGCCTGCATAGCCAATGGCGAAAGGCATCCCCAAAAGGTGGGATTTCTATTCCAAAATAAAAAAAAAAATCTATGACAGTCAAAAGAAATCCTACACTACATACTAGCTCCAGCTTGCTTTTCCATAGCTAATGCCAAAAGGAAAAATCGAAGAGAAACATCCTTCAATTACATCCATTACAATTTATCTGACTTGCAGCTTGTTTGACTTGCACTGTGTCTGCATTTATCTGTTGCCTAAACTCCCCGTTGCAGAAGGGAAAACAGACAAACAGTAAATAAGAGGAACAATGCTAACCCGAGCCCAGCAGTTAATTGAAAACAGACTTTGCTACAGTGAATTATTTACAAGAATATTAGACAAACATCACAGACCTGACATGTTTGCTGCAGGATGTCTCTCTACCTTCTCGCTGCACTTCCTGGAGACAAACGGGCTTTTTATCTCCTGGCGGCATTTTGAAGTGACTGATTCAGTGCACTTCCCATAAGCCGCTGGTATTACGGGAAACAGAAATAAATGCCTAATGACTTGTGCATCCACCCAAACACAACAGGGTTTCTGATTGACAGCACGAACACAATTACAATTTTAAAAATGAAATACCTTTCAATTTAATTTGATTTAAAACCCTGTTGCTAACATTTTGGATCTAGGAGAAGCCTCATCTCTGACCCCCCTGCAGTTGTTGGGAGCAATAATGTGCTGACAATGGGAAAAGAGGAGCCTGTGCTTTTGGAAGTAGCAAAGTATTTGCAGGCAAAGACCTGGCAGCATCCCATGACACAGAGCTGCAACCATGAAGAATTTGGTTATGCAGAGTCTATGCCAGGTCCCTGTTGTTATCCCCTCTCATACAGAGACAACAAAAGCAAAGGCACAAACCCAAATTAGCAGGTGGTGGGGATGAAAGCCACTGTAGCTGTTCAGCAGTAAGGAAAAAAGCCACTGGATGGCAGACCTCCCTGTCAGTGCTGATCCATCCTGATATCTGTGTCCCCCCCGGTAAATTTTGTGAGGGTGTAATGCTGTTTTGCTCTTTCATCAGCTCTTTCACATTTTAAGCCAGGGAATTCATCTGATGTCATTGTGTCGAACGATTCATTTCTGTAAGTTTTTCCTGTGTGGTTGATACCTCCCATTGAGAACCGGTTGCAAAAAGTCACAGCAACCTGTGCATGGAGCAATTTGTGTTCACGATTACAAGTGAGTTTAAAGAGGATTGAAACAAAGGGAAATACCTCTGGCAGGAAGGAAAATAAACCAGATATGGCTCGTGCAGGAGTGACATTAAAATATATTGAAAATCCAAAACACCACTGAAGATGATTAACAAACCAGTAATCTCCAACTGGCCTGTGCTCCCTTATTGCTGAGGGATAATCGTAAAGGATGTACTAGTTTGCTTCTTCTGCATCACATTAATTGAGGCAGACAAGTAGATCTTGCATGGAGATCTATATGCATGCATGGAGTCTCATATGTTCTGGGAAGTGTTTTCCTCAACAAAACTATATTCAGACTACTGGGGTGGAATGGAGTGTCTGCACGCCGGTTCATGACAACAGTCCTGTCACCTGTGCGATGTCGAGCCGGCTGCAGGTCGCAGGCTCCAGTGAGAGCTCGGGAGCTGCTGCAGGCTCTAGGCTCCAGGGACAGAGAACCGGTTACGGCTTTTGCCAGCACTCCTTGCAGCATCTCCCACTTGTCTCATCACTTGCTTGCCACAGAGGAAGTGGTAAGTAAGCCATACCCCATTGCTATGGCACTAATCATTCTTATCCAGCTGGACTGAGTTGAGATAATGAACTACTAATGAACTAATTAACTACTCAACTCAAGGTACCTATCCTGCCCACAAGAGGCAGGCCATTTCCTCCTGGCTGTGGAAGATGCAACAGCGTCCCTGGTGCCGCAGCCCAGGCTGGTGAGCAACACATTGGAAGCC